GAATAAAACTGAATTTAATTAGAAAAACTATGTACTGTTCGCATATCTGTCTTATTTTCAACGCCTACTTGTCGAAAAATACTTAACGTTTCCTAAAAAAAGACATTTGTGGTAAAATTCCAGAGTAAATGTTGTTTGATGGAATATCCATCCTATTTTTTAAACGAATACAATCCTCTTCTTTAAATATGTGAAAGCAGAACTGGGCAGATGCATAGAACGTTGTTGTTTATTTAATATATCCCTGGATCGTATCGGTAATTGGCCGTAATTTGCAAAGCTGAAAAATCTTTATTATGTACTGTACAATTAATAATCCACTTTACGCCTGGTCTTCTGCAAAGAATGTGGCGATGAGTATTTGTAACCCAAAAAATTTATTTTCAATACAAGCTTTTAACGCTGCACCTTAGTGGTAATTCAAAGGATAAAAAGTTTTAGTGATTCTTGTTGTCCGTCCAGCGAGGTTTATCCCCGGGACCGCTGAGTCAATTTCGCCCACATGGCCTTCTTTGTTTTCAAGCTGTTATCGGCGCGATGTTTTCTGAAAAGAAGTGCGGTCAAAAGTTATTCTATACGAATTTATTTTCAATTCCTTCTTAATTGACTACAAACAAAGGGTAATGGGTGCCTGTTTGTTTCTTTGGCACATGTTATTTATCGCAAAAGCCCTTAGAGTAATTAAATTACTAATTTCGCTGGCTTTTATGATTTTTCTTTGTTTTACTGTGCGTTAAACTTTGTAAAATTTGTTGATAAGGTTCATTGTATGAGATTTTTTCGGCGAGTGGACATAAATGGACTAAATTTTTGTGCGAGATTATTTTACACTAAATGAGCCAAGGACACTCTAAAAATCGAAGGTACACTCGCTAAGAAAGAAAATTAAACAAATAAGAAGAAAGTCGTTTTTTTCTATCTATGGGCGTAATAGAAGACAACAGAGAGGAAATTCCTCTCTTTTTTTACTTTGTTTTATGTTTTCTTCGACAAAAGACCCCTCGTGAATAATTTATTTCATGCTTTATAGTCTTTGCTCTTGTCTGTAAAGGTCGCAAAGTTGTGTTCCGTAAAACTAAAGACCGTAACGAGCATTTCCAATTAATCTTTTCATATGAAAGTAACGCAAACCAAACGTTTCGAAAAAAAATTTTTTAATATGTGGAGAGCAGTTTTCATAGCAGCCAGGGTTGTGTTGCATAGTCTGAATCTAAAGATTTTTACAGAAAATGATAACTGTAATCTGCTCAAAGAACATTTACTGATTTCTTTGACTGGCTCCCTGTATTGTATAGATTGAAATGGGTGTGAATCTGTGTTTGTGTGTAAGCCAGTTTTTGGTATACTTATATTTATCAAAAGCAGTGATCAAACGTGTAGTTTAAGGCCACGAAAAACAGACTCCTTGAGAAAAGTTAATTTGCTCTCAAGAAACGTAACTAGATATACTGCTTGAGAATATTTTTGGATAAATCTATGTAAAAAGAAGCAATACAACTGCTGTATAGTGGGCAGAAACGGCCACACCTTACGGTCATCTCAAGGAAACTACCTCATGATCTTGGAAAATTTAGCGAAAATACTTTGATTTGGACAGTAATTCTTCGATCTTAAACCTTTGTTAATCCTTATTAAGTTATTGCTTATTTTCACCTCTTTAGTGTTTTGATATTATTTCCTTCAATTTTGTACGTTAGGAAGTATTAAATCATGACCGTATAGTAACAAAGCTTCTTTCATATTCGCAGAAGACAGCGAACAAGCTGGCGTCAAGTGCAGTGCCACGATTAAGGTGAAAATTCATCATGTCTATAGGAAATTGAATATTTTTAGTAATCGTTAGACATCATTCCTAAAGAGAGAATAATTAAACCGTTTAGGATATTATTTCAACATCTTGAGACTTTTAAAATTTCGTAAGCAAAATGAAAAAATAGCAAAGTTGCCAGGTTGCAAAATGTGGAGTCGTTCTGCGCGGAACTTGAGGGCATCTTTGGCTAGCCGTGATTATTTCATGTTTATCCGGTTTTGCTTTTCGTCGTCTATCATTAAGGTGGCCGGAATAAGATGCCTTTTGTTGGCCTTGAAAACACCTATTTATGTATTACATTTTGAATAATAACTACCAACGGAAATAGCTAACAGAAGCGAGTTTGGTGTATTTCATATACGTACTGGCGGGAACGCCTACATGAAGTGAAAAGATGGTTACAGTAGTTTTATCGGGTTATAAAACGGTCATCACATCTCTAGTTTAACACAACCGATTCTGCAGATTAGTTATATGGTCAAGGGCCTGGTATCAAGAAAGGAAAATCCTCTCTCGTTGGTCTCGATCGCCCCCACGGTAACATGTATTTGGCGGCCATGTTGTTTTGCGGGCAATAAGCTTCAATTTTCCTCTCAACTACGGACTGTGTTTTTTCCCAGCGGCAGATATCATCACACTAAATGCATTAAAATATCGGTTAAAGGTCAGGTTAGTATTTTTCTCTTTGCCAGCTTGAGAAACCACCTTATTTGCAGTTTGGATGTTTTCTAGGAGTTACCCTTGTAAAAGACAGTGTACCTATTTTACTCTTTTGATAATCTAGGACCTAATTTTTGTTAATGACTTTGTTTCAACCATGCCAAAATCATGTGAAGTAATTCTTATCAGTTTTTTTATTGTTGTCCAAACTGATTCTCTCTGAAGATATTTTACACAAAAAGGAAGAAAACTATGGTGTAGAATTTTATTATTATTATTATTATTATTATTACTATTATTATCATTATTATATTGAAACTTACAGGTGTCCTTATAGCGGCTTATTAACTTCAGAAAAAATCATAATGAAATTTCAGTGTCGCCTCGTGAATTTTGTTGCAGTACCATGGATGTGTGAAAAATTTTGTTGCAGTTACCATGGATATAGATAGACTGACAAAATTAAATTTGCAATTATAATTTGGTTTCATTTCAAACTGCACCATTGAATTCAATAAAAACCAACTGTGCTATAATGTTCAATTTATTTTTGGAAAGATAACTTTGCATTTTTTGGTTTCTTCAAACTGGTAGTGGTATTGAAATTTAATTGTTTTTAATGGATGGTTTTAGATGGTTTTCGTTCTCAGTTGTCTGAATTTGGTGACTCCCAACGAAAGGCTTAGTGTTTCGTTTAATTCTCGTTGTCGATATTTCGAGGAATTCGCTTGTAAACAAGTACGTAACTCTAAACCCATGCGTAAATTTATGCAAGTCCATTGCTCATAGATACTTTTTTGACCCAAGAATGTGTATGGAAAGCCGCGAGAGAACGCGCGAGAAAGCGGCGAAGCCCCTCGAACTCGTGTCCGCTCTCGCGTGACTTCTCACGAATCCCCCAAAATAGAGAGCTTTCTCGGAGGGCAAGATCGTGGATGAGGCAAGTGATATAAAATAATACAAAGTAGCTTTCGTTCAACGAAAACGTTTGTTCAAAGTTTGAACGGCAAAACCTATCTTTTGACAAGCCCACAAAACTTAATGTCAAATTTGCATTGAAATAAATACTATCTGTTCAAATCAATAATTTCAAGACGTTTTAAACAAAACCTACTAGAGGTATTTTCACTTGAATGGGCCACACCTTTGAATTTCTTCTTTATGTCTCCCCGAACGGAAGAGAATCCAAGACAGTATTGGATTCTGGATTCCACGTCATGAATTCCGGATCTCTGTCATTGGAATTTGGATTCCGGATTCCAATCGATCATTAGCGGGATCCCGGATTCATTGAGCTTTATACTGGATTCTAAAACCCAAGATTCCAGATTCCATAGGCAAAAATTCCCTGATTCCGGAATCCGAATTCCCTTAAATGGGGTCATCACATGGAATTGAAATGTTTTTCTGGTAATTCGAGCTTCAGCTTCAGGCAGGGGCTTTGCGTGCATGGCCTTGTACTCTCCCCAAAATCGATTAAGTGTTTTTAATTAACCTGAACCACAGTCATTTGTTAAGCTAAGTAAGAATTTGAATGGTCACACCTGTGGGGATTTTCTCAACAGACTCAAAAATTAGAGCCGCATTGCCTGCTTCAATAATTGATCTCAGGGAGTCGGGAAACTATTTTGGAGGCACGTATAAATGTATGATGACGCATGTGGTCTCCCCATGTTCGATTTCTATTCGATATGTTTTGTCGTCCGCCTAAAATCTATTTTAATAAATGGCTATTAATTGTGCATTATATTTCTGACAAAAAGGTTTTCTTTTTTTTTTGGCTTTCGATGAGGACACGCAATTCCAGACTGTTCGTTACAGCATTTTGAAATCAAAACAAAAAGAACTATTATTCATCAGTCTCACACTATTGTATCTCTGACTATCATTAGAGCACTACCATTATTTCTTCGCGTAGACAGTGTAGGCCCCCCTGGCTGCCCCTATAGTGTTTTTCATTGCGCGTTTTCAAAAACAAAGAGCTATTAAGAAGGGTGAGACGGGGGGATCAAGGCTGTTTTCCAACTATTTTGTCAGGCGGCTGAAGAAAACACACAAGTCTGAAAGAGTTCGTCTTCCTCTAGTCCTCATGCATATCAGTATCTTACTCCTGTGACAAGAAAGATCTGAAGAATTAAAATGGTTTAATGACTGATTTGATTAGAAACTTTGATGACTGACTGGTCAAGATAAACGACAAAGCTTTGCTATTCCAAATGATATATTTTATTATGTTGAAAAACGGAGATTTTGTAAGACATTTGAGGTTGAAATAATAAGCAACGTAAAATTGTGCTGTTAAATAATTGTTTCAAATAGAAAAATACCATTTTGATGCTGCATCCGATTTTGGAAATTGTATTGTAATTGTTTCAAATAGAAAAATACCATTTTCATACTGCATCCTGATTTTGGAAATTGCATTGTCTTTGCTTCAAATAGCAAATACCATTTTTATAAAGCAATGTGATTTTGGATATTGTATTGTAGTTGCTTCAAATATCAAAATACCATTTTTGTATAGAAATTGTATTGTTATTGCTTCAAATATCAAAACACCATTTTCATGCTGTATCCTGATTTTGGAAATTGTATTGTAATTGCTTCAAATATCAAAATACCATTTTTATGCTGTATCCTGATTTTGGAAATTATGTTGTATTTGCTTCAAATATCAAAGTACCATTTTTATACCGCGTTCTGATTTTGGCAGATGCGATAATATTCTATGTGTACAAAAATTACCTCACAATGCATTGTATTATGTTACAAAATTTCGACATAAGAAAAAGCAGTAGAACTTGTATCTTATTTCACTCCCATTGTCCACACAACTGCAGTATCAATTTCTATTGTTACGGGGTCACTTCCTTCGTACGTGTTAGAAGTGCTGACTAAGCTTCCAAACTCCAACTGTCCATCGGCTAGAAAAACAAATAAACAAACTATTACATAACATAAATACGATTAAGATGTAGGACATTGCAAAATGATAAAACTTCTAAAAGTAGACTGACAACGACTATCACGTTTTCCCACCAAAATTACGCAGGTTCACGCGCGCGCACTACTTAGTATTGAGAAAATCTCGTTCTCGTAGTCGTCCTCATTCTCGTCCCCAGAGTCACTAGGCTTAATTTGTAACCGACCCTCGTTTTCCTACCACGTGACCAAGAAACGACGGGCTCTGGACGAGAATGAGTCGTCCTTGACTTAGTAAGGCTTCTTATGAGTTTTTGCCTATTATTTCCTAGAAGTTGGTTTTTGGGGAGAGGAGAAAAACAGGAGTGCTTGCCTTTTGTACAAACCACCCGGTTGAAAATCTCCCGCATTAACATTTAAATTGTTTTTAAAACAATGAAATTTGACCTTGTGGGAGAAGGACCCGTTAAAAAGTATATCCAAATCAGCTGGAGAGACTAAAAAGAGAATAATAGAAATTCCATCGCCTCAAACGACAGCAAACATTTGCAGAAGGGTTCCGAATGCAATGGCGCCAACCACTTGGTTTTCCAACCCAAATTCCCGGTTTCTCTCTCCATGTAAATGTTAAGCACCCCAGCTTACCCGCAGAAAAATCTCTTGGAACAGGCGCGAGAACCAATAACAAACTCAACCCACGTACGGCGACGCTTTCGGAATTCGACTCCACGCCTTAATGATAGAACGCCAGTGCTATCACCCCTACCCCACCCTAGCTCCCCTAACACTTATATGGTTTGAGAATTACAAATCCATCACCCTTCAACACAAAGAAAACAACGGGCAAAAAGGCTGGCACCTAAGTAAGTTTGGTTTTCAACAGCGATGACAGCATAAGTTTAAGGGCCTGCGCACAAGGATTCAAATTCGTCCTTTATCGCGCTTGCACCTTCACTTGACGCAAGTTTCTAATTCTTGCGTCACTAATGACAGGCTATTAAGCAAGTTCACAATTAAAGGTGGCAATTTGAATCTTCGTCTCTGTAATCTCTTCATTATAGTCGGAATGATGATGATGATAACCAGGATAACTGGACCCAGATGAGAAAGCCAAGAGGATGATGTTGATTGTAATTATCACCACTATCATCATCATCATCATCATCATCATCATCATCATCATCTTCATCATCATCACAATTTCCATCATTTTTACGTCATCATCTTCTTGGATCATTTTTCGTTTCTGGGAAACTGCTCACCTACCCCTCCCCTAAGCCAACATTAACACTTACTTCTCACTTAGAGCAAAATGTTGTCTTAGGGGAGGGGTAGGTGGGCAATTTTCTAGAAACGTATAATGATCCCATGACATCATACCCCTTCTTTCTTGCAGGTGAAGCTCAGCCAGCAAAAAGAAAATCGGACTCAGTTCTCCATGAAGACGCCACAACGAGTTGGAAAACGATGACGAAGATAAGGTTACGATGGAATTTCTCTTTATTCATTTTTCTGTAGAACGATTTACCGCGAAATATATTTTTAAATGATGGTATTTTAATCCCAATAGCATTTACGTACAATCCTGTTTGAGGCTGCGTTCACATCGTACCGGATAGCATTTCTTGCCGACACGAAAACCTATCCAGCATAGTGTGAACAGTAACGGCAGATAACTGGAACAGAACTTGGGCGGCTGGCCGAGAGGGTTTGGTGCACTAAATCCCAGTCCTCACTCCTGAATATTTACTTCCGTCTCAGTGGATTCCAGTCCTCGCTCCTACTTATTCACTTCCGGTACAGTCCGAATACGTGTTGACACTTCACCAAAGTGTGGCACAGAACTTGTCCAAGTTGTGACACTCCACTTTCGAGATCGGTGCGGCACAGCTTCGCTCCGTTACAGAAATTGCGCCGAAATCACCGTTCGTATATGTGAACAGAAGCCCTATCCGGTATGGCTTTCATATTGGCGCAAGAGCTATAGATTGTGGTTTTCCAGAATTACCCGCGAACCGCGCGGAACGTCAAGAAGTCATGTGACTAGGGCCTTGCCGTCAGGTTTGCAGTTTGAGGTTCACGCTTGTACGGCTGAACCGCGCTCCAGAGGCAAGTGATTGACGGAAAAGTTTTTTGCACCCCAAAAGATCACAATCCCACGTTTGAGAAAAAATACTACTTTTTACAACTCTTTTGTTAATTGATTATCAAATTATATTTCCAAACAACATAATTCTGAACACAATTTCTTGGCTAAAATAGAAGTAAGTGAATGACTGAATACAAACATGGTAGCAGCCGCGAGCTACCACCCGAGCATCTCAAGTCCCAAATATGGCCAGACGGGTAACGTGAAACCGTTAACCGCAAACCGCAGTTTGTCGTTTGCAGTAAAATGACCAATCCTCGATCTTAAGGTCTCTAATGTGTACATAGCCTGAGAATCATAACCTACTTAGATTCCACTTGAGGCCAGTCGTAGTGATGTGCGTGCATTTGGCACCTATGGGTAACAGTCCACACCAGTCTCCTTCTAAACCAGTATTCACATGAATCACGTGTTTTCCCTAAAAGAAATCGAATCATCATAAGTTATGCGCGCGCAACAGACCGAACCTGTTATTAAGACCTCAGTTACTTGAGCAAATTCGCGCGTTTTGTTAAAGAAAAGCTTAAGACTTGTCAATAAGGGAATCTCGCTCCATTTTAATACGTTCTTACGCTAAAGAGGACTAAAACATGCTATTTTAGGCCACAAAGGTACATCTAAGGAGAATGCAGCGAGGAAGTAGTGCGCGTACTTGTCAAATATTACAGGTCTAACAGCAAGGTGCAAACGGATGCATTAACTCCCAACATTGTTGTGCCAACAATGTTGGGAGCTGCTGCATCTGTTTGCACGTAGCTAAACGTTTGACCGGTTTCAAACTTTGCGCAACAACATGCGACAGGGTGTGTAAACGGACGCAACATGTAACATCCAACAATGTTGGGAGTTGTTGGCTACCAATGCTGCGTCCGTTTGCACGGTGCTTAACTAACGGCTATCAGTTTTGAAATACGTCGTTTCTCAACCGACAGTTTGATAAACTGTACACATAAAATTAAGCCCAGTCCCAGACTGATTTAAACCCCAATCTGTATCTCTCTTGTGAGCACTGTATTCTGCAGAGGGAGTACTCGGGTACGATTTCTTTATGATGGTTGGTCGACCATGTCGTAAAGGTTTGCTTGCCGGGAATTTGAGAACAAAATGACCCACAAGAAAGGCTCGTTTTAAGCAGTACTTTTCTTGGTGCTACCACTTTTTGTCAGCGACCACCCGACCATGGCGTCATTGGTTTGTCACACACGAAGAGGTCCCACTGTATTTCATAATGTCTTGTTCACTCTACAGCGACAACATGCTTTCATCGGTCAGCAAAACAGTCACACTATAAGTTTCTAACCCTTCAGCACAACAATAACAAATAAGCACCCATACCGGTAACAGAAGACAAGCTATTGATTCCTCAGACATCAAATAAATGGGCTTATCTGTGATCTTTGTCATGTGGAACAGAGTCTCGATGTTCGCAATGGTCTGGTCAAGCCGCTTTCCAAAGGCGTTTATAACAACAACCTGGTCAAACTGAAAACATAAAACAAAGTCATATTAACACTGCGTTTACAATGAATATAAAAATATGCTTAGTTATCCTCTTTCTTCGAGGGGTGTTTCAGGGATGACTTAACACTGAAAAAATTCAAAATGTAAAACGTGAAAATGTAAAAATTCAAAATGTAAGATGTAAAAATGTATACAGCCGTTAACGTGGTTAAGAATCCCAACTGGTAAGAGGCGAAACAATTGGCTATTTATAAAACAATAGTTTAACGTCGATCTACTGAGAGAGAGGTGACAGGTTTTAACCTCCGGCAGATCCAACGAATAAGGCCTTAATGGTTACCGTCGTTCTGATTAAGACCGACGACCGTGGCTTTGGACTTGCCTCGTTCGTCTTTCCTTGTCGAATTAAAAGAGGATACACTGCAGGGGTGTTAGACTCTGTCGAGGAAGCCTGCCTTTCCCGGTTGCTCTGTATGTGGTTGGTCGGTATGTATAACCCAGAAGGGAACTTCCTGCCCTTTTTGTATGACACCAAATCATAGACGTACGTGGACAGAGTGGAAGCTAAATTATGAGTCACCCGGAAGTCGGTCTTCAGTACCAAGTTCTGTGGAACTTCTAACAGCCACCTTCTGGAGAAAGGTAAGTGGCTGCAAATAGAGGCTCAGCTGTAGTTGTTTTACTTTTTTTCTATTTACAAACCTGGTTAAAGTTTCCTTTATTCATCAAAAGTCTCAGGCATTTGGTGAGATCGGTTTCATCCTGATCCGGGGTAGGAATCATTTCTACACCCTGGAAAAATGACAAGAAAGATTTATGGAGACAACAGCCGACATTTTGCTACGTCACCACTGGTTTTCCCGCGAAATGACTTCTGAGGAAACGAGCACAGAAATCCATACTGATGACGTGTCACTAACCTAGATCTGGGTAGTGCTTCTGATTGGTCGTGCCACGAGGGAAATTTGCTTCAGCCAATAGGGAGCATTATTATTCATTCAAAATATTTCCCCGATTGTGATTGGCTAAAAGCACACGCATAATACACCGTAACCAGCTACTGATGTCCAAATTTGGAAGAATTTTGCAATTAATCAACCGATGACGTCAAAGTGAAGCTTCCTTGCAGGTTAATGCACCGTTAACCGAGAAGACCTCGGGACGAGGTTGAGTTGTTTTGGTTGTGAAAACAAAAATGGCGGACATTTCACTCGTTTCAAGAATAAGAACTAGGCGAAGTAATAGCTAGAAACGTGGCCAGAACAGCAAAAAGAGAACTAGAAGGGCGACATCTGCTACTTGAAGAATATTTGCGGAGCTGAACAACCCTAAACGTGCACTATCGAAGATGAACTTAACATCGATGGAGGTAAGCATGTTTTAGCTATGTTTTTAAACTAGGAATTATTTTGAATGAATAATAAAACAATTATTGAATTCGACTTTCGTATCATATGAAGAATCATGGAGATCTGGGAGGGTGTTATCCAACACCCTCCTCTATGCAGTAATACAAGTAAGAGAAATTTCTCTTTTATGATGCACACAACGTTTTCAGAAGATAAAGAAACGAAGGCTCCTTGTTGACAGATTAAACTTTTCTTTGATGCCAGCCTGGGAAAAACAGCCGACATCACGCGAAACCATCACTGTTTCCCCGGAGACCAGTGGGTTGCATCGCGAAAAGTCGACTGTCTTTTTTTTTCCGGCTTTTTTAATGTTGGCAGTAAGATTTATTTCGTGTCTTTGATGTGGCTGTAGCCCAATTCACTACCAGCAGCTTTAGTCGAGTAACGGTTAGAACCCCCTCTCTTACGATATACCCTACCTTTTCCTTGTAGAAGTTTGATACATCCGCTGTTATTGAGTCAAAGTCTCCATTGATATAGTCTGGAAGGTACCTATATGACATGAAAGACAACCATTCAATAGTACACTGTTTCTAGCGTTAAGGGGGAATTAATTAAGGTTTGTGGTTTTACAAGCGCTCTTTAGGCCTTTAAGCATAAATGATTTATTGTAAAGACAGCTAAAAATGACCAAGCAACCTGTATGGAACTACGATCGCCGGGGGGGGAGACTTGGCATATGAAAGGGGTGGGGATGCTCGTCGGAAATTTTGAAATAAACCCCTAAAGGAGACCGATCTGGGCGTGGCCCAAGCTTTTTGTGACCCCTAAAAGAGACCATGTTAAAACACAGACAAATGAGAAAACTTGGATTATATGAATGGAGTAAATAAAACGTATTAAAAATATAAATATCAAATATTTATAAATATATATTTTTATTGTGAAAGGTTTGAACCCAGGAGTCATTTCAAAAGGTTGAGTTTGATCGTCCGGGTGAGCGTAGTCCTGAATAGGACTGTTGTTGTTGACAGTGACTGACGTTTCGACAACCTGTGCGGTAGTCATCTTCAGAGTCAAAGTGAGTTGTATCACGTCAGTTGATGGTATTATACTCTGGTTATTGATCTGATTGGTCAATTATGTCGCGATGTTATTGGTCGTCTGTCAGTTAAGCCGTGATGCTTACTAATGTCAAGGACAAAGACAAACCGGAGGACAGACAGGAAGCAGTATACAAGATCAAATGCTGCGACTGCCAGGCTTCTTACATTGGTGAAACCGGCAGAAACCTAAGCGCGCGACGAGGAATGGTGACGTCAACAATCACATTGCTGAGCACCATTTAAAGACGAAACATCAAATTGACTGGGACTCTGCGACATGTATAACGTACTCTACAGACTACTATCGACGTCTTACTTTAGAAAGCTGCTTTACTAACTTAGAACAAACGTCACTGAATCGTAGCCAACAGTTACCAGCGCCGTACAAACGACTTATTGACGAGATCAAGTAAAACTTACTACGAGAGAACAACTGGAGAACTGACAATTTGACTAACAATAGACGACTGTTTAACTCCGGGGTTTAACTGTGACAATAGACGGATCGAAACCCACCTATCACTGATTACGAGTCTTCATAGCCAATAACATCACGGCTTAACTGACAGACGACCAATAACATCGCGACATAATTGACCAAACAGATCAATAACCAGAGTATAATACCATCAACTGACGTGATACAACTCACTTTGACTCTGAAGATGACTACCGCACAGGTTGTCGAAACATCAGTCACTGTCAACAACAACAGTCCTATTCAGGACTACGCTCACCCGGACGATCAAACTCAACCTTTTGATATATTTTTATATTTGTTCGCGTTCAATCCTAAACTAGACCTTCACAGCTAAATATGATGGCGTATGAACACCCTAAGTGAGACCAAAATCCGAAATTTACACCCCTAAGCAAGACGAAGAGCATCCCCACCCCTTTCACATGCGGAGTCCCCACTCCCCCGGGACTACGATCTCTGTACCACTTACAAGGTCACCAGATTAACACTCAAAGGTGATTTTGACATAACTTCCAGCTATTTTGCTTCTTTGAGTTACTAAACTAAGGGGAGAGTAGAGTCAATTAAAGAGTATAAAATTAATATTTTTTATGACTTTCTAAAATGCTCATCCCTTGAAAAGAGTTGGATAATTAATGAACCCTTTTAGGCCCAATCTTAAAAGAGTAGTATAGGAGCTGCTCGTAAGGTCTCTCCTAATTGGTCTTAGGAAAAAATGACAATTGTCATTCTTCCAATTGTTTTAGTATTGTTTGGGGTCAGGGAAATGCACCATTGGTGACTTCTCTTCTGAGTAGCTGTTACATGACCCTCTTAAAAACATTTCCTCTTTGGTGATCATTTAAAAAATTCTCATAACCTTTTCTCCTGATTATGTAGTGATAATGTTAAGGGAAAAACGGATGTTGATCATGCATCCTTGGGTTTAAAGAGTTAAAGTGCTGCAGCACATTAAAGTAACCTCGCACCTTTCACATTGCTCACCAACTGTACTAAACACTTGATTGGCACCTCCATCTGTACAGGCCCTTACACTAGCTGCAAAAGTGTGAGACATTATGGTGTGCAGATAGCTAAGGTAAGTATGTGTCATCGAGCTATCAAAATGATGGCTTTTAGAAGGCTTCTTGGCCTAAAACAGATGCCTAAAGGTATGAGAATGGGTCCACAGAAACTGGCACTTGTTGTTGTGTCCCCCCCCTCCCACCCTACATGAAGCTATGCATATTTATATACTATAAATTTTAACGTAAAATACTATTAATATTCTTCTTACTTTTTATCACTGAATGTTAATCACTTCCATTCGAATTTTGTACAGTTGTTTGTATTACTTATTTTAGTCATGGCAAAGCTAATAAAATAAAATAAATGGGTGAAGAAACCCCCATTTCTCTGAAATTGGCTGACAGGAGAAAATAACCTTTTGCTCAACTGCAAAAGAGTCCAAGGTTGTAAGCTGGAAAACTTTACTTCATCTTACAGGCTCAAAACCTTATTTTGAACTGTGCTTAGCTGCATGAAAGGATAAATTTTGAACCAGTGGTGATGCAAGAGCAGAATTTGTGGGGTTTGGAGAGGAGGGATGCTTGTCCATCTCTGATGGAAAACAACCATGGATTGCCCAGCACACATTTACCTATACAGTTAGAATTTGACACTGGTCACCCTTAATTACGGAACAGAGGGACAAATGGAGAAAACTCATCATGCATGTGCAAGTGAGCTCAACATTTTGAGCAGAAGAAGTGTAGTAGTAGCACTGCAACAGCAGTATAAGTATATAGAGGCGGTGGTAGTGTGTTTGTGGTGATACAAATAAAGCATTGTCTTGTCTTGTCTTGTCTACAATGTAGCAGCAGTGGTGGAAATATCATCACAGCAGTTAGGTTCTATTATTATTCATTCAAAATATTTCCCTGATTCTGATTGGCTAAAAGCAATGCATAATTCACCATAACCAGCTACTGATGACCAAATTTGGAAGAATTTTGCGTTCAATGAACCGATGACGTCAAAAGTGCTGCTTTCTTGCAGGCTAATGCACCGTTAACTGAGAAGGCCTGGGGACCAGGTTGAGTTGTTTTGTTTGAGAAAACAAAATGGCAGACATTTCACTCATTTCAAGAGTAAGAACTAGGCAAAATAATAGCTAAAAACATGGCAAGAACAGCAAGAAGACAACTCGAAGGGCGATATCTACTATTTGGAGAATATTTGAGGAGCTGAACAACTCTAAATGTACACCAAGCATGTTTTAGCTATGTTTTTAAACTAAGAATTATTTTGAATGAATAATAAAACAATTACTGAATTTGCCTTTCGTATCATATGAAGAATTATGGAGATCTCAGAGGGTCTTATCTGATAAAACCTCTTCTCAATCTGCATAATTCTTCATAAGATACTCAGCCTCATTCATTAATTGTTAAGTTAAAGTATAGGTAGTGGTAGTGAATCTAACGCGAAACCCCAGAGTCCTAGACCACACCTATGATGTGCACATCCATCAGGGATCAGGTTAAAAACAGATTAATAAGTTGAAGAGCACTTAGTCTTACCAGTATTCCAAAGGTGAAAAAACTTGTCAGCCATTCCACCAAGAGGCATGTTTACAACCACAAGGGCCAGTTTTAGTTTTTCATCTAATGAGGTGATAAAAAAGTACAAAAAAATTCATTGTGAATATTCAGATCTTCATCCTATTAGCTGTTCCTAAGAAGCTTGTTTGAACATTCTCTGCATGTCAGCTACAGGGATTATACAATATGTATTTCACAAGAAAACTATAGGAAAGAGATAGGAATAGCACATCCACTAAGTGGCTCTTTGTCTTCCTGGTCAAACCGGAATTTTTATATGTTGATACATGTATTTAAGGAGAGGCTTCTGATACTGAAAAGTAAATACACTAAACAGGAACACCTGTGAGAATACCTTTATTAGCAGTTTCCTGATTTATCATGTCAGATAAACATTCCAGAGGGGTCCAGTGTTTGGCCATGATCTGGAAATGAAGACTTATAATTAGTCAAGCAAAATTAGTGATGAGACCCATCCTCGGAGACAAAGGGGCAGTCAGTCAGTTGCACGCATAACCTTGGTGAACAAACCGGACAAGTATGGTGAGACAATAGCCATTGCGTACAAACTCATGAAAAAAAATCAGGAGATGCTGTTCGCCAACTGGGCACTATAATACAAAGCATTTTAGGAGCCCAACCAGGAGCCAGCATTTGCTTGACTGTTTGGAAATGGTCCGGTGAAAATCGGTACCAAGGGGCTCTTCCGCCTGTGCTTGAAAACTTTCGTCGCACCTCCCAGCCCGAATGACTGCCCCTGGGTCTCAGAGGATGGATGAGACCCTGTTAGGTTAAAATTTTGACAAACAACATAGCCTTGAAACAGCAACACAAGACAGCTGAAATGGTGACAAATGACATAAAGATGGGATGAAACTGCAATAGTGATGGCAGGGACATTATTGGCCTCCACCGTAATACGCCAAATGACAGTTTTTGCAGTTTAGACAATGGACATATGTACCCCACCTCTCCCCCCCGAAGAGGGCCCTAGTGATAGCCCATAGCAGCTGGAGTCCATCATTCTGGAGGCATTGTCAACTGGATCAGACCAGATTGGATCAACACCTCTAACTTACTAAATGACAAAAGGTTAGGGATAGGGTTACACGGTTGATCACAGGAGGCAGGGGGGGAGGGGTTGGTTACTGCCATGAATTAACTATATAGGTTGATGTGCTGCTGTGAAGGGTATGATTTTCGAGCAGTTTAGCAGGGCTGTCATTAAGAGCCGGGGGCCAGAGATTTCCCCCGGCTACTATGAACATGGCCCCCAGCTACTTTCCAAGGAAAACAAAAGAATAATAGAACCAAAAGAAATCGCTAGCTGTTTGATTCACCGCCTACTTGTTGTATTTACCCTGCAACTTGAAATCTTAGTGACAACCCTGAGTTTAGTCTGGGAAAGGATACAGAAAACAGATACTTTTGGTCTAGAATAGGGTATCATTTTCCAGGAAACTGATCAACTGGTTGAAGTTTTTATCTAGGGAAACCAGGAATTGACACTAACAAAAAAAACAATGAAATTGCAAATTTAATTTACCTGCGCTTCAGTTTAATAGCAAAGAAAGTGTTGATCTCAGTGGTTTCTGGAAAATTATAACGACTCTCGGAAAGGGAACGGTTTTGGGAGTTAAGTTTAGTGTCTAGTATAAGAGAGCCAAATTCAGCTGGGCTGGGTCTGGTATAGACTAAGTGTTCTGGGGTCCCAGTGCACATTCCGCCCCCAAAATTCCTTCCGTACCCCCACCCCTCACCCCCCAGGGAGGAGGAGGACGAAGAGGGCTGATCTAATCAGACCCAATCCAGATTTTGTCAATGACCTCTTTCTTCTTTCTGGAGCATCCATCAACTACTAATAAATGTCACATCACACTACGCTGTCAGTTTCATGAGGCCCTCTTAGATGGAGTAAGTACATCTCTGATCCTAATTTTAAATAATGGTCGTTTCATGTGTTGAGGAGTAGGCCATGTCCCTGTCGGTATATAACCAATCTTTATGTCATTTGTCGCCATTTTATCTTGTCTTATGTCGCTGTCTCGAGGCCTTGTCAGAATTCTACCCTAACAGGGCCTCCCTAATATCATAATTTTTTCCCCAACACTCCCTCTGCTACAAAAGTTCCACACAATCTTATACAACTAGTGGGGCTTAGAAGTGATTGGGTTTTAAAAGGCTGTACGCTGGTAAAACAGGAGGGAGGCACAAAAAAATGGTGTAAATAGAGCATAAACAAAATCAAGAACTACATGGACCTGCACAGCAAGTGAGAACGTAACCAAAAGTATTAAAATCAGGAATGCAACAGCAGTATAACCAGTCAGTAATCCATGGGTTGGAGTGATCAGCATTCAATGTCTAGCCCGTTTTTGTAGCAACAGCAAACCAAAGGTTATTCCTGATCCATGACATCAAACTACTGGAACATGTTGGAAGCTGATAGGAAGAGTTTAAAAAAAACTATCTGCGTAATCACTTTGACATGTTGTAAGTAAGGGGTCTGCTTGGTCGTACACGGAAATGAACGACCAGCTCTAGAATTAAGGACACTTTTCAGGGCGTCTACGAAAGCTTCCTGGCTCAAAGCTGTAAAGAACCTGAAGAGATTAATCAAACCTTGTTCGCAGACTTGATGATTCCAGGATAGCTGTTTGCTGTAACACCAAAGAATGATGCAAAAAAGGTAATTCTTCTTTCCCACTCAAACCCTTGAAGCTCTAAATATAACCTATGATCGTTTGTCGAGTCACGCAGCACATTCAAACGTGACAAGTGACGTAACGCTGTTACGTCAAAATGTGAGTGTTACTTCCGTTTCAGTGGCAGTACACACTAGAAGTAAACGAAGATAAATCATGGACAACGATCTCGAGCCAGTAAAATTAGTTTTCCTTGGAGATTCATCGGTTGGAAAAACCTCCTTTCTACTTAATTTCACCAATGGTCAGTTGATCGAAGGAGACAGTTCGGTGGTCTGCGACTTCTCAGACAACATAGAATTAGACGGAACGAGATATCACGTTAATTTCTGGGACATAAACGGCGATTTAGAAGACCGTCTTCGGCCTCTCGTATACCCTGGAACCAGCGTATTTATGCTATGTTTCGATGTTTCAAATCGCACATCATTTGAGAACATCAAAGATTCATGGACTACTGAAATTCGCCAATATATGCCAGATATCCCTTCTCTGTTGATTGGCAACAAGATGGATCTCAGGGATCAAAGGTTAGTCAAAAAGGCTGTCTACAGTTTTCAAAAACATATAGACTTCGTGTACATGTATAGCAGATTTTTGGATAGCTTTGTGAGTGTTCGTGTAAGTCTTGTAGGAACATTATTCGCATTTTAATCGCATTTTAACAAATTGAGCACGAGGCAGCACGTTCCCTTTTGAGAACGGAAGTTAGGTTTATCATGGGTTTATGCACGGGGTCTCTTAAATCATTCAGCTATATACACTTGATATTAGGAGTCTCTTATTTTTTACGAAAGGTACTGCAATCTTGGACAGAATAAATTAAAAAGCCAAAGATACCTCCTTCTCAAACCCCCCCAACCACCCCCGACCCCCCAACTATGTTTCCCTGAAATCAGAAATGAGCTGCGGGAAGCACAGGGCGCAGAGGAGCTGTTTGTGATGGAAAAGAAAGTGAAAATTTTACTGCCGAACGAACGAGTCGCCTTTGTTTACTGTAGAATCTATTATGAACTTGACCTTCCAAATAGTCATGCGATCGTGTTACTAACCTGGTAAGATATTGTTATTCGCCCGTAGTCATTAGAGACGGACCATTAGAAAAGTTATTGGGGGAGGTGGGGAAGCGAAGTACAAAAAAAATATTCGCGCAAGGGAAAATTAAATGAAAAAAATTCATGCACGCCAATTAACCCTGAAAAAAATTCATGCTACGGCCTAAAAAAAATTCATACAAGGAATTTGATAACGAAAAAAAATTCCTGCGGCTCAAAAATTCCCCACCACCCCCACAACGTTTCTAACAGTCCGTCCCTTACCCTCGGCGGTTTCACCGAGCATCAGATAATATTTTACCAGGTTAGTAACACGATCACATAAATATTTGGAACGTCAAGTTCTTAACAGATTCTACAGTAAACAAAGGCGACTCCTTCGTTCGGCAGTGAAATTTTCGCTTTATTTTCGATCACAAATACCTCCTCTGCGCCCTGTGCACGCAGGCACCGCCATCACCCGGCCTGGCCAATACCTTACGCATGCGCACAGTCATATCACCAGGGCAGAGACAGCCATTTCAGTAGAGAGAATACAAAACCCAGGAACCCTATTAAATACTGTTGTTTACAAGAGAGAAAATTGATGTTTTTATTTATTCCCTTTATTCTTCATTGCCAAACCAGCAAATCTAACGAGTCTGGCACAGTGACCGTGAAAGAGGCCTGGGAGCTAGCTAAGTTTCTTGGTACTTCGTACGTCGAGAACAGCGCCACAACAGGAGAAAATGTAAAAGATGTTGTCCATACAGCTCTTAGAGTAGTTGCTGACCAGCGAAAACTGCAGAGGTCCAAATGTCGTTGTCATCGACTTTTCAAGTGGATCAACAAATGCAAACATCGTAAATGAAGAGATTGACGACAGGCAGGGATTTGAAGCCTACAGGGAGATAAAAATTTCAAGTGGAAAAAAAAGCTACTTTTCTCTTATAACATAAATTCTCCTCATAAGCTAATTTTTGGATGGAATATAGTGGATAGTTTCGTCTAGACATGTGCTTTCTGCGCACAAGCCTTTACTCGGCTTGTCACACGTTGTGGGGCCAGCTAAACAAAATTTATACTGGAAGTGTGGCTCTTGAATTTTTGAAATATGTTAAACGACACAGACAGTCCACGATCTACAGCTGTAATCTTTATTAAGCCTAAAATACAAGCTTCGCCGTAGGTACGTTTGTAATGACAGCTCCCAATGATCGTACACTCATGAACCAGTCTTAAGACAACGTGGAAATCTGCTTGTTTGGTGTCTCTGACACATTTTAAACAATATTTGCGTGCGAATGAAATTACCTATGCTCAGCCCCTAACCCCACATATTATCATGTACTGAGTGCAAGTGGGAAGCGGCAGGGTAGGAGGAAGAGGGATACTGGGGTTCCTAAACAACACGGCCTAAGTCCAGAACATAAAACACTATTTTAAAGAGAGATGGGAGGAAATATAATAATTAAATTTACAATATTTAATATCCTGAATATACCTCACAATTCATCGTTTGAGATATATTTTATATATAAACTGAATTGCATTAAAAATAAAGAAAATAATATTTACCAATATTATAGTTTGGTGTGTTAGTTACAGGTAAGTGAATTTCTAGTTATGAAAGTCATTGACAATGGGCTTGAAGAAGAAATAACTTTTTAGCTCAGCAGAAAGGAAAATCACTTTCGTGCAGGATATCAAGTTCAGTCTCCTTGTTCAGTTTTATCCTAGTGAATAAGCCGAAAACTTCGTCTGTATAAAACGACCACAAACTTCGTATCCCTAGTAGGATCGATGATTTAGCAGGGCCATTCGTCGCTAGTCGTCGTCGTCGTCATTGGCGTCGTTTTTAGTTTTTTGCTTGCCTAGTCTCTAAGCCTCATTTTTTTTCGCGGCCAATGCGTTTCGAGTCACGTGGTCTGAGCGAGTTCGTCTTGGATACGTCACCGAAAAGCGAAGGCCTGGGAAGACACCGTACAGGGACAAGGGAAGTTTTTTGCCACTTATGTCTTTTATAAACACTAGATTTTGACTGGCGGAATCCTAGAATTCAAAACAAGAACGCTCTTAGTAGCGTTGCGTCTCGCTTGCTTGGAGATACGTTACATACATACATACATACATACATACTTTATTGTTACCTCTCTAAAGGGGCTTTGCAGGAACAATGATTATATTACATTATTTATAATAACTGATTACAGCACTCAATCTAATACTAATTACAATGCTAGCTAATTGCTAATTACAATGTTTTAAACTTAACTAAGAAGTATTAGTAGTTTTAGTACAAAATTATCTAAAAGCTGGCTCCTTAAGGATCGTTTAAAAATTCCAACAGATGGGCTTAACTTAAGAAAAGATTCCAAATTGTTCCAAAGTATAACAGTCCTGCAATAAAAGGTTCTCTGTCCGGATGCAGTTCTGAAAAGAGGGATGTTTAGCTTTTGGCTATTCCGAGTTGTTCGTTCGCTAACTTGCTCACGGGTAATAAATTGAGATGTAAGATATTCAGGGGCTTGACCGGTCATGCATTTGAAGGCTATAGCTTGGCGATAGTACAGTTGGTCCTTAACAGGCATCCAAGACAGGCTTTAAGAGGGGTGTTGTCAAAGGCGCTGTTGCTCTGTGTTGCTATTATGCTACTTTTTTGTTTGGAATACAAAATGAGTGTTACAAGTCATAATGTAAATAGAGTGTTTTTACTCACGTGGCCAGCCTCTATGCAAATTGATTGGAACAAAAGAATGTGTTTGCATAAGAAAAGAGTTCAACTCCCAAAGGACTGGTTTGGGACACCAACATGGCCGCCTTTTCATTGTTTTGGGACACCAATATGCCCGCCGTAACGTCATGTGAAAACGCTTTATACTCAAAACGTAGAAATTGCAAGAAGAGACAGACTTAGCTTCACACCAGTGTGAAACCTTTTAAAACCTTTTGCATATTGATATAGATACGACATTGTGAAATTTTGAGCTGGCGCATAGCCAAAGACTGTAATATATAGATTTGACCAGGGTTTATACTCATAAATAAAAAAAATTAAATCGTGTAATGCTAAACGGGGACGGCAATGAAAATGGCATCAAGATCAATAGATCTAATTAGCAAAAAAAAACAAATTTGCACGTGCAGCACAACGTTTTTTTTTCTAATTAGCAAAAAATAAATGTGCACGTGCAGCACGCTTTTTTTTTTTCTAATTAGCAAAAATAACAAATTTGCACGTGCAGCACTCTTTTTTGTCTTTCTTTCCGTTGTTTGGCACAACCTACAATGCCGTTTTGTACGAATAAAACGTCAAACCAGTTCCTAGTTACACATTATTTTTATGGAGGAATTGTCGTATATACTTACCAAAGATTTTGTTTCTGTGTTCATGTTCACTTTTATTTTTTCACTGCCGCTCATTTTCACCTTGCTGGCCTCTAGTATTTCTCATTTTCTCACCTCCGCCATGAAATTTTCATGTTTTTCTTCCTACGAAATTTTTCTCCTTTGTTTTCAATCACTCGCTCTAGCTCTTTCTCTGTTATCCACGTGAATGTAAACATCGAAAATAACGTCGAAAAAGACACGAATTTGTTGTTGTTTTTTCTCTCTCTCTAAGAGTCCGGCGGCCATGCGATTTCCTTGGACTAAAACCTCGAGTTGCATTTGGGTTGCCATACCTGATGATTGAGTTATTTTATATTGGTGTGCCAGTGGTGCGGACGGGCGGTCGGGCGGACGTCCGGTCAAGTGACTATCAAAATTTCTCGGATGCATAGGTTACCAAATTTTCTTACCCATGGTGCTCCGCTGAGCGCGTGTGCCAACATACAAAGAAAAACAAGAACGCTCTTGGTAGCGCTGAGTCTCGCTTGATGAAGATAAATTTTATTGTCAGCTGGTGCTCTTATGCTACATTTATCGTTCGGAACACAAAACGAGTGTTGTATGTCATAATGTAAATACTCAAAACTTGAAATTTGCAAGGAGAGACTGACAGGCCGTACATCTTAGCTTCACACCGGTGTGAAGCGTTTGAAAACCTCCTGCGATATTGCTCCAGTGTGGATAACTCTTTCAGGTATTTTACACTCAAAAAATTGAACGATGATTTTTATCAGTATAAATATATATATAGCTGCTTTGTAGCGGAGAAGATACTGCTCAGTACAGTTTTTGGCTTTTTTCAGCACAGGAAAAATGTGTAAGTTTAGCAGAACCTTATACAACTGGCCCCGGTTGTTCAAACGTTGGACAGCACTATCCACCGGATAAATCATTATCCAGCGGATAAGTATTACGGAAATCAATTACGCTATCCGCTGGATAGTGATTTATCCGGCCATAGCGCTATCCAATCTTTGAACAACCTAGGCACAGTTAATTCAGTTGACGCGTATTCCTGTTGAATTTGTTGTCCGTTTTATAAGATACCAAAATTGCGTGTAGGTAATTACATTTTCTATGGCTGCTTAGTATCTGCTTTTAATATCTTCGTACAGTTGGTGTTTACGCGATCTAAGGGTATAATGTTTAGAGCTATACACAGCGTGCATTTTATCACAGTATCACCGGGATGAAGCGTTTCATTTTCCAGGAAAATTTCACTTTCTCGTCAAAGCAATCACTGACTCAGTCAGACTGGGAGTAGTTTACTTAAATTTAGTGCTCAGTAAAGCGAGCGGGGTTATGTTTTGCGAAATTTATTTACAATCGGCGACTGCGTGCCACATTACCACGATCCTTGATTTATTTATTTATTTTATTTTCAAGTTGTTTTTTTAACCGATCCTCAATTTTCTATCCCCAATTCTCGATCCTCAATCCTCGATCCTCGCTCCAGGTCTTCCAGCAGCCCAGTAAAACTCGAATTGTTACTCATTAAGACTGTCCTTTTTTTTTCGACCACTGAAGTAATCATTTGTTCCAAAGTAATCAACGCTTTCAAGCGATAGAATTCGAGGACCGACACGTTCCTGAAAAGCTCGATATGGGATTTCTATTCTATGAACATGAAGTGCTGCAAGTAGAGTGCGTGATAGTCAAGTACAAAGCTACCCGTATAAACACATGTACATCCGTGATACATGCGTAAACGTCAGTCGCGTAGTTGAAGTTGCTTCCAGCAGTACTCGAAGGTAAAAAAAATCATTGATATCTCAAGTATTTATAAAGTACAACGCGACTTCACATCTTATCAACTGGGAAAATCTATCAATTAAATACATACGTGAATCTATTTAACCGTAGAGTTGCAGTAATTGCGATAATATTCTGAGAAACGTAACGCCTCAATACACTACAATAATATTTTCTCATCCTACTTGGGGTATTTACTTTCTGACACACGTGCATATAATTGCACGAAAATTAAGGGCCTCGATTTTGGGACAATTACGTCATTGCCAAACAGCGAAAACGTGTTCATCTTACAAGCGCAATTTCAGTAATCGCCGCAAATAAACCCCATACACATCACAAGACTTATTTGCATACAATGAAAATCGTCACGATTCTTATCCCCAGTTTCCACTGTCTCCGTTAGGAACGCGTGGGAGCTTACCCCCCTTTTATTGAGACGGACCGACGAAAACAAAAAACGCTTGCATTCTCGCTCTGCTAAAGCAAGCTCAACTATACACTAAGGTGCACTTGTCCGTCAAAAGTTTCTAACTTGGACCTCCCCTCACCTATCTCTTTTTTATTTAAAGGTAATTTTTTTAAAATTCCCGTCTACCGTTTTTGGACCCCGTATAGCAGGAGCCTGTTAGTTTTAATAGCGCGCGCACTCCTTTTCTCCCGTTGCGCGTGCGCACGTCCTCGAAATTTCTCCCTTCGCCCAAACGCACCGCCTCTGTAGATCCCCAAACCAATAGTTTTGATGGTGCGTGGGCCGGCTGTCTTCGTGCGTCATACATATCCATCTTTTTTGAAACCGGATAGTTATTGACCTACAGTAGCTTTTTCTAAAATTCCCCCGCACTCCACCGATGTGTGTCGACAGTCCTTTTCGAAAATCGAAGCGTTTCTACTGGCTGTAAAATAACCCACTTCAAAATTTTACCTGAAAGAAAACTACTTTAAAGATATGATTAAAAAGTCAGCTTTACGGTAGAGTAGTATGGAGAGAGAAGATAGATCGATCAGACTGTCGGCTGACTCTCACGAAAATTTCCGTTTTCCTCCGTCCACACGATAATCCCAAAACAGTGTTTTCAAAAAATTCCAGTCTGTATAGCATTTTTGAAAAATTTTTGGTGACCATGTTTTTTCGGTGGAATACCATTCAGAAAAAAAAAGAAGAAGAAAAGAAAGACAAAAAAAAATAATAAAAACGTGCTCCGGAGAGCGTTTTTGACGGTTTTGAAAAATTATTTTTCGGTGCCCGCGCGCTTTCATCGGATACCTGTGAACAGAACCTTTAAATAGCTAGTAATTGCAAACGTTTATGACAGAATAAGATTCTCCAGAGCGAATTTTAACTTGAATTTTGATCTTAGTTTTACATGTAAAATCAGATGATTTAGTCTAGTAATGGAAGGTTTAGAACGCAAGGAACTCTATCTATCGATCTATCTATCTATACTCTAAAACGCTATATAAACAAATGTTGTCACTTGTCAGAGTTTGAAAGGCGCGTTTGACGTCTTTGACAACTAGACAGATGTTCAGATGGGTGCGCAGATGTTAGAATGTACGTAGATGGATGATGATAATGATGGTAACTTTATTTTCGTCTCAAACTTCCAGCTTAGCACAAGTGTTGAAACTAATCGGGGAGACATGGGATGTTCAATACTAAATAAAAAGTGTCAATTACGTAGGATTGTGCACAGCATGTCGATTTTATCTTGCGTGATATTCGGCCGGCCATTTTTTTGAGTGCGTGAGTATCTAAACACGCGTGATAATGCCCAAAGCGTTGATTGGTTAATCCGTTCTTGACCGAGGGAGACTAAAACGTAATTTTTCCATTCACGGTTTTCATTTGGAGAAAACTCTCATTTCAGCTGTGTTGTTCTTTGAGGGTGCTTAGTTTTCTTTCGGTTAAGGTAAATTTCATAGTAGTGTTATACCTCGGCCGTCCTTGGACTAGTCTTAGCTATGCGTCGTTTGAAAGTTAAGGTAGTCGGAGATGGCAACGTGGGTAAAACGTCGTTTCTTGTTCGTTGGTTCCACGAAAACTTCCCAGATCAAGATGAAACTCCATTATTCCCCGGTCGCGAAAAGATTTTACCATCTGTTCAAGATCCTTTCTTCACAAACATGACTGTGGACCGAGCTAATTATGTACTGACCTTCTGGGACACGATCAGCGGAGCGGAGTTTCTAAAATTTCGCCCTATGGAGTACGAGGAGACTGACGTTTTTCTTGTCTTCTTTGATCTCTCGAATCCGACTTCTTTTCAAAATGTGTCCACTGTCTGGGTTCCCGAATTAAAGCACTACATGCCCGGAACCCCGATTCTGGTCGTTGGGAATAAGACCGACCTGCGGAAATCGAGGTGAGGATGAAATTTCTTTACCTACTTTTTCTTAAACGCTTCGAAACTGAGAGCAGGCAACGAGCCGTTTAGTTTTCAGTTCAGGTGTTCTTGTTCCAACATCCGCTGCAATCGTTATTTATTATTTCCTAGTAATAACGACTCACTTTTAATTTTCTTTCTTAACCTAGTCAAACTGCTGCAGGTCACAGTTTAAGGGGTTTTAATACTTGGCCTGGAGCAAAATTATATTAATAATCATAAGCTTCGAAATTGTGGATTTCTTGTACCGCCCCAATCGTGTAACGTACGACTTTCAATAGCTTGGTTATGTTAATCGAAAATTCATTAATGTTTGGTCGCTTGAATTTATTGAACTGAAGTTTTAATAAAGATTGACGATACCTTTGAAGATTTTGCCTGCTTATCGAGTTCGAGCAGAAGCCACAAAACTTCCGCGTAGATTTAGACTGCTAGAAACGTGCGTGTACTAATGTTTTTCTCGGGAGAATAAGCTAAATATGCTTAATGTAACAATCACAGGAAAGTCGATCATCAAAGCTCTTCGGATTGGCAAATGGTCGATTTATTTAGTTTGATGTCTTCTGAGTCAAAAGGGTTTTGTAGGTTGGATTGTGTTCGTTAAAATTCGGAGCGAGTTATATTTTCAGAGGCCGGTAAATTTCATGCAGTCATTTGCGGCATAAGCAAACTTTTCACCTTCCAGTTAATTATTGTTCGCCAAGAACAATAAAGATGCCTACATTCGCGGTTCGTCTGCGTTCACATTTTCGTTCGAAGCTTAAAAACGAGTACAAATTAAATAATAATGGTTTCTTCCTCTCTTGTTTCGTTTTCCGTTGACGTAAGCTTATTCCCTTGGTTTCGACCGTGATCATGTTAATAATCATTTCTGGTGTGCAATTTTACCTTGATACCTTCATTAATGCTTTTAAAAGGAAAGTTGTTCTCATTAATCTAAAAGAGTTGTGTGGACTAGCTATAGGCTTTGCTTTTCTCAATCCAGCTGCTAATTTTTCACGCGGTTTATTAGTTTCCTAAAAACCATTTAGCCACATCAAACAGCCCTTGAATCTTCAGGCATTTTACGAGTCTTTTTTGTTTATTTACATTGTCTGTAGTGTCTACACTTGAATTGATTGGGTATCGCCGACCGTTTAAAAGAAAACTGAAAATTATATATTTTTATGGTTTACATTTCTTCCAATTCTGCTTTGATAGGGTTTCATAATTTAGACGTGTTGCTGCCGTAGAAACCATTCTTTTACGAAAAAAAATGGCATGTTTACTTTAATTATTACAGTGTGTATTAATTTCCACTGATGCAATGTAAGGCCCCATGACCAAGGTTGTAGATAAGTTTGCTAGTTCCAGCTGTATCGAGTTTCAAATAAGATCAATATCAGAAATATTAATCCAAATGACCAGGGAAAATTTGGCTTTCAATACAAAACTAATTGACATAGTTAAAAAAAATATCATTCATTATTAATCCTGGTGTTATTTTTTGGCAAAATAGCCACTAACACCATGTAAACTTTGAATGTACCGATCAAAAGAAATCATTAAAATGAATGAATAGTTTATCCCAACAATGAGATATTAAAAGATAAAATAATATCACCACAGGAAATTACTCCTAAATGATAATAAACGACTGTAATTAGAACTTTGATTGTCAACAGCAAATAAACCGAATACTAATAGTGCCAAGTGAAAAAAATGATTAGCAATTTTCTGTTGAGGCTGCGTTAATGCTTTGAAGGAAATTATTGTGACACTTTTACACATAAGAGAACCTTAGTAAATAAAATTCAGAAAAAATGATGATTTCAATTTGCTCGGTAGCACCATCTGAGCCTAATCTCCTGAGAGAGAACAATAGTATTAATAATGAAAAATAAATGGCACAAGGTGAAACTTCTTACATGAGAGGATGTCATTCACAGATACAAAAGTTTGAACTACATCTCCTGTCTCCAAAGTGAGAGAGTTTGAATTGATAATAACCAGGTCACACTCAACAGACTTAAAAGTTGCCGAAACCTTTGCACATCATGATGAAAATACTAAGTTGTGACTCTATAGGTGTATTACCTTTCATTTAAAATTTACTAAATACAGGGTTGCCATAGTCAGGGAAAAGTCAGGGAAAAATGAAAATTTTTCAAAGTCAGGGAATTTTTTTAAATAGTCAGGGAAAATCTTTGATATTGTCAAAGTCAGTGAAAAGTCAGGGAATTCTGTTTTCTGGTTTATATTTTATAAGTTTTCTTGAAGATTTTGAGTTGTATTTTCTTTTGGAAAAGACGAAAAGTATGCTGCAAAGCAAGCAAAGCAATCAATTTGACACTTTACGTCTGACACATGTTGTAGTTGTGGTCAGTGGTTTTCATTGTGGATTCTTTCTTCCAAATTCCTTCTTCTTCTTTCTGCGAAAAGCAGAAAGAGGTTGAAAATGAAGAGAAAACTGTTTATCATGCTGTACAAGGTGGTTCTAGCTTTGGAGTCTTTGAGTTAAATGCTTAAGTGTGACCATTTGAATGAAACTTTCCTCTGGTGATGCTTATTATGCTGTGCAATGTGGTTCTACGTAGCTTTGGGGTCTGTAGTTAAAATCCTCAAGTGTGACCATTCAAATAATGCTACTGCAAACAGTTCTTTGCTGTGGTGCTGTTTGTTATGCTACACAAGGTAGTTCTAAATTTTTAGTCTGTGGATGAGATCGTAAAGTGTGACCATTCAAATGAAAGCTAGTGAGCAGTACTTTCATGTGATACTATTAATTCATCATCTGATACAAAGTTAAAACCAGAATACAAATTAAAAAAAAATAAAAATGATGATTGATAGAGTTCACTACATTTCCGCACACAGTCAAATATAATTTTCATTATGGCAAAAAATTCGTTGTTTAATTTATTTGATTTTATTTTTTTTTAGGACTTCTTAACTTCAGCTTGTAGAGAACATTACAAAAATCACTGTTGTTCAAAGTCACACACTGTATTTACATGTATGTCTGCATAATAATATGACAAGAAAGTTCAGCCTGGCAGTTTTGAAATAATACGTGACCTTTAGTAATTAAGGCAAAAGGAAATTGATATTGAAGCAAAATATGTTATTAATTCATAAATGTTTATCATAAAGAAAGATAAGAACTTGATAAAAGTTCTTGTTTTATTTTTGTATTCCATATTTTACATTAATATTTTGGAGATACCCATCAGCATTTTCTACCACAGTTGACTCACTCCTAATGGACACCTAGAGTTGGTCCCTGCCTTTCTTTACTCCCTTTATTCGACTCTTCATGAGACAGACACCTCTCTTGGACGGACACTTAGTACCGGCCCCAAAGGTGTCCGACTTCGAAAGAGTTGACTGTATACTAATATTATTATTGTTGTTGTTATAGAGTAGTTTGTATGATGCCAGTATCTCCAGAATATTATTTTTATTACAAAAATGATTGCAAAAAATAGACAGTCACCCTGAAAAGCTCCATTATACTTTTGATTCACCAAAAGAGATAGCTCTGTTTTGTTAATTGAAGGAGGTTGATCTCTCTCCTGATCGCAAAGTGATAAGACTTCTAAGATTTGATAGGTTGCAATTGTTTCCGCGACTACAATGTTCTCGCTAAAACTTGTAGTAGAGTGACAATGGCTACCACATTTTCCTGCCAAAATGACACTACAATCATGGACACAAGTCTTGGGACACTTTTGCATTTCTGGAAGTTTTCCAATTTGCACAGGCCCAACCCCTCGCCTCACCCCACAAACAATGTTGGACGCGTATATCCAGAATTTTTTCTGAGTTTCAACTTTGTATAGGGTGGGGGGAGGGAGAACTGCAAGATAATTGTGAAAAGGATGGCACACTGTTTTATGAGGGAACCTAGAATGACAGAAAAATATGAATATTGCATTGCTGTCCCAAGAACTTTTGTCCATGATTGCAGTTCACATGCAAACACTACTTAGTATTAAGAAAATCTCATACTTGTAGTCATTCTCGTCTAAAGCCAGTCTCTAATGACTGTCAGCTTTGTACATGCTAGCTACAGGTTGCCCGAGGGGTAGGTTGTGTAAAACGGACTTTCTTCGCACACTGTGTTCATGCTTGTTTTTGTTTCGTCAACAGCAGTGCCCCAGATAGCATGATCACTGTGTCAAAAGGCCGTGAATTAGCAGAAAGACTTGGAACCTGCTACTGTGAAAGCAGTGCTGTTACGGGTGAAGGTGTATACAGTGTTATTGACTCTGCTGTGCGAGTAGCAATTCAGAACCAAGCTCCTGCGAAAACAAGGTTCAAGGTTTTTCAGCGGCAGAAGAAAGCTCCAAAATTGCTGCGACATGGACCAGATCCTCCTGTGCTATCTCCCCCAGGTTTGTAGAGTTAACTTGTTTTAACCCTCAGTTTTAAGCATGATCTCAAAATTGAGCTTGCCCTGGTACCTACATTTGTACATCTATGCATACTCTAATATGGGGTATATTTTGTCCTTAAGAAAGCACACTAAGGCCCATTACTTCAAATTACCCCTCAAAAAGTGCCATTAACTACATGGTTGACAGTGATTTTGTTACCTTTGAATCCTGCGTTCCTGACACATAAAAATTCCCAAAGACGCAAAATAAAAATAATTATTTATGGCACGCATTCAGATCGATCTGAAGATGTGTTTTTGTTAAATATCCTGTTTGTTTGATTTCTAACTATATTTTAATTATTTCATTATACTGTAATAAAGAAGTTTTGGAGTCTGCCCTCAGATTAACTGTCTGGTTACATAAAGGCCCAAGTATTTTCAATTCAGGATTCATAGTTTTTTGAACTGGGACTCAGTGGTTCCGGACTGGGACTCAAAATATTTTCACAAGATGAGTACCCAGGACTCACCATAACTATTTGTAACAAAATCACTGGGTTAAAATGTTAGCGAATAAGATGCTTTAATTTATTTTTTGAGTTTCTTAGCTTTTCATGTATGCATGGGAACTTGAATAATTCGGGCTTTTATACAGGTTATTGCCAATGAAAGCAATGGATTCTATTGAAAGATGGAAAAGTTGAAGTACCATAAATGATCTAATAGACGCCCTCTCTCAAATTACCACCCACTGTCTCTTAAATGCCCCCAAGCTTTAAAGTTTGTATGTGATGTCCTGTCTAATAAACGCCCCTGCCTAAGAAATGCCCCCTGTCTAATAAAATAATGCCCCTTGTCTAATAAATGCCCCCTGTCTAATGAACACCCCCTGTCTAATAAATGCCCCCTGTTTAATGAATGCCCCCTGTCTAATAAATGCCCCCTGTTTAATAAACACCCCTTGTGTAATACATATAAATGTCCCTTATCTAATAAATGCCTCCTGTCTAGTAAATGCCCCCTCTCAATAAATACCCCCTGTTTAATGAATGCCCCCTGTTTATTAAGCACCCCCTGTGCGATACATATAAATGCTCGCTGTCCAATAAACACCCTCCATGATAGTTGCTCTAATTTTAATAAACACCCCCTGTGTAATACATAAAAATGCCCCCATCTAATAAATGCCCCCTGTTTAATAAACACACCCTGTCTAATACATATAAATGCCCCCTATCTAATAAATGCCCCCTGTCTAATGAACACCCCCTGTCTAATAAATGCCCCATGTTTAATAAACACCCCCTGTGTAATACATATAAATGCCACCTGTCTAACAATGTCCATGATAGTTGCTCCAATTTTAAATGCCTGTTGTCTATTAAACATCCCTGCTTGAGGTCCTAAATTCCGGAAATTCCGGGTCAATGGTGATGATGATGGTACAGATATGTCTTGTTTCCTCTGCTTTGAGAAATTGGATCAGACAATAAACCTGAGAAATTTTGAGTACAAAGAAACAATGACAGATGGGATTTTTTACAGTTATTTTTATCGAATGTTGCTTTTTTATATCACTCATTAAACAGATCCAATGCCACCAGTTGAAATTTTGCCCTCTACCTTCACTGAGGATATGAAGAAAATGCAAAACGATACTAGCCCTGGAAATTCAGACATCAGGCTTGTCTTTGGTTCTAATAGTCATCCAGTGGAAGCTCATAAAATCGTACTCAGTATAGGTTCTTCTGTGTTTCGTGACTTCTTTTTGAACAATGGAGAGGAAGTTGAACTCAGTAGATTACTAAGTAATGCTGAGTCGTGCTCTTGTACTAGCAAAGAAACCAAGCAAAGTGGGAAGAAAAGCAATGTAAAAGATACTAGCAATGGAAACCTTCAAGGTCTAGTTCCCGCTCATCAAAGCTCAGAACGTTCACCAAACCTGGAAAGAAAGGCCAAAGGAAAGACTAAGACATGCTTACATTTTAATAACAGTGTTTCTGGTAAAGCTTTTCAATACGTGCTAGAGTTTTTGTATTCTGGCTCACTCAGTATTCCAATGGATGCTGATGAATCTCTGTACACGAAGATCACAAGCTTGTCTCACAGACTGCGCATTCCTTGGTTGGGACAGATCTGTGAGAACATAACAAATGGGGAAAGCTACCTCAACCCCAGCTTAGTGGCCATTATGCAAGAGGAGAGGAACAAAATCGTCAAGGAGAACTTTGTGAATCGTCCGCATTTTTCAGATGTGGTGTTTCATGTTAAAAACACTGTTTTGTATGCTCACAGAGCATTGTTAATGGCAAGGTCAGAGGTCATGGCAGCCATGTTTGGTGGTAGCTTCTGTGAGCGAGATAGCCATGAGGTAGGTCTGCATCATTGGAATGTTGTTGACAGTAGGCCATACTCAGCTCCGAGGCTGAGAGGAATAAAACAGAACAAATGAAATATTTATTGCTGAATCTAAAAAATTAATGCATTTTCTTTTGTTTCATACCCTTCAGCCTTGATGCTAAGTATAAATAATTCAGAACTACAGCTGTAGTCTACTGCAGCACAGGAGGATCCTCTTGGGAGAAAACCTGTCTTTTCACATTTTGAGGGAGAAGCCATGTCCCTGTTGATATCTTACTATTATTTTTGCACTTTCTTGGGGTGTCTCAGTCTCGCCCCATCTTTGTGTGATTTGTCACCCTTTCTGCTTTCTTATGTTGCTGTTTCAAGGCCATGTTGTTTCATGTTGGAAGTTTACCCTAACAGAAGTTCAAAATACAGTCAAACTTTGTTAATATGGACATCAAGGGGGCCACAGAAAATGTCCGTATTAACAGGGTGTTTGTATTAAGCATTGGACACAACGTAAGGGCTTTCTTTCCCCAGGGATTAAGCAAACTGTCTGTAATGATGGGATGTCCATTTTAAGCAAGTGTCCAGTAAGCGGGGTTTGACTGTGGTGTTGACTGTCGATATAACGCGGTTAACTGAAAGGAGCTGTGTCATGATCTGTAGGTTCAAAATAATGCTTACAATATACAGTGTAGTGGTTTAAAAGTCTGGTCTAAAATTACTCTTGTGGAAAGCAAGGGTGAATTGCCGACTAGGAGAAGCTGAGTGTTCTGGGCCTGAGGTGGGCAGTTTTAGAAAGATGGGTGGGGACAGAACAATGTGGAAGTAAAGGAGACAGGTTGTCTAGGGAAGATAGATATTCTAAAGGGGATTGGTTACTTTGAGATGGGTTGTCTGGGGGAGTGGGAGCAGTCTGATGGGTGAACTTTGAGGGTGAGATAGACAGTCAAGGAGGCTCTGTGTTCTTGGAGTGGTGTGGGAGAGATGTTAAGCCAGTGAGGGTGGGATGGGCTACATGTATCTTGGGGGAGATGAGTAGTCTGGAGGGGAATGGATTGTCTAAGGGAGAAATATGCGTGACTGACCAAGTTTGAGGTCAAGATGGCTGGATATTGAGACAAAGTCAAGGTCAATAAGAAGCCAAAAAAGAACTAAGATATTATCCAGTAGAGTTCATACAGGTCGTAGAAACCTGGAAAGTCAAGGAATTTAAGCATCTCATTTTCCAGGCCTGGAAGGCCTTGGAATTTAATGTTCAGTCCTCGAAAGTCATGGAAAATTAAAGTTTATTTTGATTAGTATGGCTGATGACGTGATGAGGACATTGTAAGATAGAGAGAAGTGATTGACCAGAAAGAAGGGTATGCATTGTGGTGAACTGATTACAGTCTAAACAAGGAAAGTCTCAAAAACTTTTGAAAGTGACAGCTAAACCTTAGGTCTGGGAAAACTTAAAAAGGTCATGGAAAAAGTAATAGAAAGTGATGGAATTTGAAGAGCTTAAAAGAGTATGAATGCAGTCCAGCTATCTTAACCCTTTAAGCCCCAATATCCACATACAAATTCTCCAGACTGATCTCCATACATTTCCTTCATGAATGAGTTGAGAGAATTTGATAAAAGATCAAGGCATTTTCCCTTAGGTGATCATTTATTAATTCTCATAACCTAATCTCTTGACATTGTATGGATATCGTTAGGAGAAAATTGACATTAATCACCATTGGGACTTAAAGGGTTAATCAAACAAGCTTGGTCATTTAAGTGTTTATTATACGGCCTATATGAGAACTTATTTCTTGTGGGACCAATGCAGGAAATCCTGAGCAAGGAGTTAGGCCCATCTAGTCCGTTTGAACACGGATTTGCCATATAATAAAACAGAATAGTGTTTGTATAATAGGAGTTGCAAAGAGGTCAACTCAAAAGGAAAATTGCAGAGTCCAAGGATATCTTGAACACCAAGCCAGTTGAATTAGTTGAATTAGTGTTTACTTTGACTCGCTTATATGGTTTTAACTTGATGTTGTAGGTCACAATTAAAGGAGCAACTGTAAAGAGCTTCCTGGCTTTGCTGGTTTTCCTGTATACAGATGATGTACCAAGCGACATGACTATCAATGACTACCGAGAGCTGCTTGTGGTGGCTGACAGGTTTTGCCTTCCCCAGCTCATTTCAGTCTGTGAGTCAGCCATCACAGAGAAAATTTACACAGAGATTAGGAAGAAACGTCTGAACTCTGCAAAATGCAATGATGTGATCAACTTGCTTTTGACAGGGCAGGTAGGGGTTTGAATAAGCTGTGATTCAACTAATGGCAGTATACAAGAAATGTTCCCAAACCACACTCAGGGGTTTCAATAAGTTTCTGCACAAGTGGGTACTTAAGAGTAACAGGCGGGTATATTTGCCGAAGGCCTGAAAATTTTGAAGTTCTAGACTCTCGCAGATGCATTTTCAGGTCTTTTTTTGTTGCTTTGTTGTTTCATTTTTTTGCTCCTAAGTCAACTAATTTAAACAAATTTGAAGAGAATTATGTTACAATGAAGTAGTCACAGTCAAAACCTATTTTGCCAAATTTTTTGGCAAGAATTCGAAGCTGAGATGAAATTATCTGGTCTTAGTTGACGTTCATGTGAAGGCTCCAAGCGGGTAATCGGCCCGTTGCAAGCGGGTAGATCTACCCGCTACCCGGCTACTATTGAAACCCCTGCACACTTACATTTCCTTAGATCCCTGTAAATTTTAATCTCTTTCACCTCTTATCATGGTATGTGCCAGTATACCAGTAAAAGACAGATTTGAGACGCATCTTGGTATTAGTACTCCGGATTTCAAGTGACAGGGATGATCGAAGGCTTTTTTGGGGTCTGAAATTTTCGATTGCAGGATTTTTTGGGGTAGGAAAATTTGGCAAGTATTTTTTGGGTGGCTTGATTTATGTACTAGGGATTTTTTTGGCTATTCAGAACAATCTGAAGATCATGATAGTGCCTGCTTATCCCAGCCGTGTTGTTCTTTGATTTAAGTACAACCGAATTAAACTTGGTTTCCTTTCTGAAGATTTTTAAGGGCTTAGAAATTCGGCTTGTGATTTTTTGGGAGTTAAATTTTGGTCCAGGGATTTTTTGGGGTTTTGATTTTTTGCCTTCATTCAATCATCCCCTTCACTTGAAATCAGGAGAACCCCCTTCGGATGAGGGTGGGGAGTGGTGAAGGGCCAAGGTATAACCCTACTAAGTTGCATGGAAACAAGTCTCAAAAAATTTCCTGCTGAGTCAAGGCCGTGCTCTAAGAAATATTAAAAGGAGCCCAGTGTTCTGAACTTGTAAAATCCAGGGTGTGTTAGCATAGGATTTCTAGGGAAAAACTAAGACTTCATAGTTGCCAAAGAACAAAAGTAAGGCACCATAGCCACCAGGCTCTTCCTGTACCCATTAGGCCATGACAACTAGATTTTCCTCCCAGGCAAGTTCCTTTTCTTGTTCACTTACCCAATGGGTAAGAGCCAGACAAGTAATTTCCTAACTAAATCATAAACTAAGGCATGCATTCAAAGACCTTGGGCAAACAAATGAGGAAATGGCTGTCCAAAGGACAAGCTGGAATCCATTTTTTTTTTGCCTTGGAAAAGTATTGCCTTATTATTATTTTTTGACTTTGCATAATGGTGTGTTCTTTCAGTTGAGCCTTCCAACTGTCATCTTCTTTCCTGTACCATTGTTTCTAACCTTTTCTGACTATCATTGTAGGCCCACAATGCACCTCAGCTCGCACAATGGTGTTTGTATGTGATCACTACAAACTACCCTGATTTTGAAACCTGTGAAGACTTTGAACTGATCAAAGGGGACAATCGCCGGCATGTTTTAGAGCACCGATGGCCACCTTTAGCGTACTTGAAAGAGCTAGAAGAATTCAAGAGGAAGACTGGAAGAGCATAAATTCAACAATATATGATAAGTTGAAATATTTTGGTAAGGCTCATAATCCCCACCTCAAGCCATAATCTTTTTTGATAACCAAACATGCAACAATCTTTGTCTTTACTGAGACCAGAGTTGGTGCTTCCTGTGCTCCATCATTGGTGATCATTTTTAGACAAAGTGCACGCACTTGTGGAGGTGGCACAAGAGCTAATAACTGCACTGAGCAATGTTAGTAAGCCATGGCCATGCTTTTAAAGTAATGGAAATGAGAGCTGTTTGTTAGAATCTTTAAGCTTTGCTTTTGCTAAAACAGCAACAAAACAACCCTTGTTATAGGTATAGTTGCAAAGTGGACATTACAGAGAAGACAGGTTTGTAACCAGATAGTATCACGCAATCTTGAAAATTATTTTGTTGTTGCTGCACAACAATGCATTACAAAGCAAACTTGTGATAGTTAATAACACTGCAAGATATTATCAGGCCTGATATCTCGGATCTGACATGGGATCAATTTGGGTTTCCGGGAAACTGCGCACCTACCCCTCCGCTAAGCCAACATTAACACCTAATTCTCACTTAAAGCAAAATGGTGGCTAAGGGGTGGGGTGGGTTGGCAGTTTCAAAAAAACCTAAATTGATCAGCTCAGACAAATACAGCATCTGTGTCATATCTGTATTGTTTCCTTATCTCTGACCTGCAGCGTAAGAGGTAAAAACCTATTCTTTCCAATCAGAGCTATATTAGCTTGGATTCTGTAAAATATAGCCAGAAATTTGATTGTACAAAGGTTAAAGGTTAAAAATTATTTAATATTTAATTTACAGCATATTTAGTTAGGACAGCATTTAATTATAATAAAATACATTGTTCCAGAGGATCTTTAATCATGCCCTTTGGTAACACAGAAGTTTCTGTACCAACTTATCTACTTGTAAGTATTTTTGCTTCCAGTCAATTGTTAAGAAAGCATCAGGCCCCATTTATCTAAAACACTTTTTGTTGAAAATGATGAATATATGAATTTTATGTATTGAAACCGCCGAATGAAGATATTTTTGCAGAGGTCAGGGTTCCAATAGTTTTATCTTTAACTGCAGTGATCACCTTTGCATTAATTATTTTTCTTCATTTTGCAGTTCCAATATATGAAATTCTTCTTTCTTCTTTCCCGGGTATATTACGAATCAATTCAATGACCTGCTCCCAGTTTGCATGCTAGCTCAATTGGTAGAGCACTGCACCAGCATCGCAGAGGTCAAGATTCGAATCCCGGTAAGCCTGAATGTTTTCAGGCTTGCATAAGTTGTATCTTTAACTGCGAGGACCACTAAATCTAAATTTTTCACTAGTCAAATCTAATCCCTTTAAAATTTATTTTAGTACAAGGTTGGCTTCTGAGTCAACAAAGTAGAGTATGCCTGGTCTAAAGTCATGGATACAATCTTCAAAAAGCCACTTTGGCTAGTCCACTTTAATTTACATGTAGAACACTTCATGGAAGAGGTTAGAACTGAATGGTTTCAAAAAAATAAATTGATAAACATTCTGATAAAATAGTAATTAGATTTATCTGATTTCTTGGTAATCACAAATTTCTTGTTTTTCTTGAAGTTATAAATCTGGGACAGTATTTGTTATGAAGGAAATAATCATTCTAATCATGTTACTTATAAGGAATAATTAGGTATGAAGGAAATTCTAATCATGTTACTTATAAGGAATAATTTTAATATTTTTTTCAGCTTGAAATATTACTCTTATACTTAGAGTTAGCCTTCCACACAGGCATTTTTAGGGGAGCTCGTTTGTGGGGAGGGACGAAATACGAGATCCCCTAAAAATGCCTGCATGGAATGCAAGCTTAGTGTATGCTTGGTAAGAAATTCATTTCTTGCTTAAAACTCATATTCGCCAGTGTATTTATTTATTCATTTAATTTTTTACACAAGCTTTTAGCAGAAGGCATTGTTACTGAATATTGATCCCCCTCAAACAAAATCAGGGAGGGAGACTTTCTCACCATTATTTTTTTTTTAGGGGAGGGGGTGTCTGTACCCAGACTAAATTCTCTTTCAAAAAGTTTTCTGTGAATTTTGGCAATGTTGATAAGTATTAGGCAAAGTCCAAAAGGTTTTGGAGGTGGAGTTGTGTAATTTGAAAGGGTTCAGTTCTGCTCTTATCAGAAAATGTAAAACATTTTCTTGGATAACTGAATTGGTGCCCAGAGAAAGTCTCTTCAGTGATATGTGATATTCTACTAAATTCCCCTTACAAATTACCTTGTATTTTCTTGGGAAGTGAGAGGAGAATTTTATGTTAGATCAAGACTTGTTTAGAATTCATGCTTTCCTTTAGTGGAGAAAGTGACAATACAAACCTTAGACTCAATGAATTTAATTCTACCATGTGAGGATAATTAAGTATTAAACTGTATTCTTTAATTGGCAGAAGGTTCTAAAATTAAAAATTTCAGCAAAATAAGGCACGTCGTACATGTATTTTTACATGAATTGTCTAATTAGATTTTTTAATGAAGACTTTAAAAACATAGGCAAAGAATTTACCTCAGTAGTGATAAATGATGTCATAAACTTTGAATGACAGGTGTCAGTTATATTTGTACCCATAAGAGAAGTCGCATCTAATTGGCTAATCACATTCATACTTAATAATCTTAGGATCAATTATCAGCTAGCTTTTAAAATTTTTTCTCTCGTCTAGTCCTAGTTTGTCTGAATATTATTATAAGCTTAAGCTCGCCTGTTGCGAGATATGTGAGCAAGGATACTTAGTCATAACTTGTACCATTTCATCGCTTCTCAACAGCTTTGTTCTATGTACCTTCCATACTTTGTAAAAATCTAACATTGAAGGCGAATTAAAATAAAAAAAGAAATTTTGCAAAGTAAACATTTTACTCGTTGTTCTGTGATGGACTACGTTTCAGTATTGATCTAGCTTATTCCAGGCGTTCAGCTGTAGAAGAGATGGCGGGAAAAAAAAGAAGTGAAGTGGGTTGGAGTTGGCCTTTTTTCCTCCACTCTCCACTATCTGAAAGCCTGGAACGTGTTAATAGTGGTTGTACCCACCCCCCCCCCCCTCCCCGGTTTTTGAGAGCTGACACGTTGACAGTTTTGTCCTGAGCCAGGGGTGCCTGTGTTCACTTTTACGAAAGGGACAGCTGCGTCGCAGACACTCTAAACTTTTTAACGGGAAATATAACATTTTCGGAGATTGAAAATGAAAAAAGAACTTGGTATTTGGTTTACTTTCGCCAAGGGAGGGTCTTGGATACGGTGAGATCGGCGGGTGGGTATTGGGGCGGGGTGGAGGGTTGGAATAGTGTAAATCCCTTCCTGGCCTCTTGTTACGAAATACTATCTTGTTTCTTCCGGTCGCACCATCTTGAAAATCCCGCTTTCCACTTTGCAACTACCACCTAGCCAAAGTTAACCAACCGTTTTACAGGAAAATAATAGAAATACACAACATGGATCGAAATCAACTAATTACAACCTGCAGACGTGACCTTTTGAACCCGCTAAGAAAAGGCTTGTTTCCTGAGAGGTACGCTAGAGTGAATGCCGTTAAATTTTCCACTTGAGGTCCATTCTCGTCCCCAGAGCCACTCGGCTTAATTTGTAAGACCACGTGACCAAGAAACGACTTGCTCTGGGGACGAGAATGCTTGAGGTCATGATGTTATTGCAATGCGCATGCGCTTCGATAGTAGCGAAGAAATTGCTGGTAGATGACAAAATAACAGCTAACGGCAGATAGGTCTCCTGGGTGTTATATACAACCTCGTCCCCAGGGTTTTTGCCTTAAAAAATGGGTGGGGTGCCCACCCATTTTTTAAGGGAAAAGCCCTGGGGACAAGGTTGTGTTATATATAAAGTCTTGAACAGAAAAACATTGTCTGGCGAAACATTTTCTTTATTGAAAAACGTTTGCTATCAATGTGTAAATTTTGTACTTCGAGTAACTTATTGTTTTATTACGAGCTGCTGATTGGCACACAACCAACCGTCTTGGAATGTATAGTTATTTTCCTGCAATCTGATTGGTCAACTTTGTCTAACGTTTTTGAGCGACGCGCGTCAACCGGAAGTGTACTTTTTGCACTCTTGAGCAGTGATTTTAAACCAGTGTTTGGGCAAATCGTTTTTGTAAGAATCAAGACTCTTAGCAATACAAATACGGTAGTGCCAAGACATATTAAAAGAGAAAAAAGCTCACTTCCGGTTGTCGTGCGTCGCTCAAAAGCGTCGCTACCTATAGGAGGTTCAACAGGAATCCCACAATGCAGCACAATGCTAAAATTTCAAACTGGCGGCAAGTTACGGGAATTACAGTCGCACTGTAACCTCTCTCGCAACCGTCCTAGAGTAAAATCAAAGGGTGCCTATGGCTAACTCGTGGATTAACTTATTTTAAAAATGAAAACTGATAATGAACTTGAAATTAGTCTACCGATATTATGATTTAAGTCTGTCAAAAAATGAAAATATGTTTTAAAAAACAAACCAAACTAAGAAAACAAAAGCAAAACGAAAAAAGAAAAAGAAAGTTTCCTCCGGCAGGAATTGGACCAGACCATTGATGTATAAGGTCATGGCTTTATCTACTACGCCAAGGCATCAAACGTGAAACATTCTTGTAAAATTAATTATCTTTTACAGTTTTTGGCCATGAAATTCTACCGGCAAACGCTGTTTGAAGCTGGTAGAGCTTTATTTATGAATAATTCCTTAAAGATATATTCCAGGAAAAGACGCAGGGTTCTGATGGTAAAAGTTGTACTTGAACTCATTTCGTTGCATTTGAAATGGCCGACAAAGCAGAACCATCGCGAAAGTCTCTTGCTGATGGCGTTGTACTGCATTTACATGAGAAGAATTACGATTCAGCAACAACAAACATTTCTGTTTTTATTCAACAGCAAAGAAACATTTCATTTCAGAATGATGTTTCCTAAAAAACTGTGAGATTGGAGGTCTTGTAATGGGACCGTGAGAAAATTTTATTCTTGTTTAATGAGAAAGACCTAAGATTTACTAGTTATCTGATTCTCACCGATAAATCGTAAGAATACATTTTTTTTTCCTGAGGCCCTCGAAACTCATGCCTTGCAGAAGACTACATTTGTTTTAATATACAAGTACAAAACAACTAGAGCGCGTTTACGCCCGAGTCGAGTGTACTCGAGAAACGCGAAACGAGTATTGTGAAAGCTCGCGCGTGAGCCTCACGCGGTAAATGAGACTGGGGCCTAAAGAGAAACTAATATGGCGACGGAGTAGATGCGCAGAACACGTGTGTTTTTAAATTCGACACAAAGTAACATAATTCGACTTTAGGAAATCCGATTTGACCTCCACCGTTTCTTTAACTCATTCTTCAAGGCTTGGCGTCATTTGTGGCATAGAAATTCTCGGATGTGGCATGGCAGAAGTTGTGAAAAATCAAGCACAAGTCTTGTGAGGTAGGCTTAACTTTGCTTAACTTGAGCTGACGTTTAAAATCATCAAGTAATCCCAAGAGAGCCCTTTCCCGGGCTTTTAATCATCCCCGTCCTCTAATATGGGTTCCGTGAAATACAGGTTTCATTCTATATCACGCCTGGGGAGGGGTGCGTGGTAGAACCCAAGGAAGTTTTGGGTGAAGATGTGGCTCAGGGGCAGACACCAAGACACCAAGATGTTGGTTAAAAAGAGAGGTGAAGCGAAATTGTTCAAGAACGACTCGGAGGTGCCTGGACCAGTAATGTAGGAGCTGCTTGTAAGGTCTAATTTCCTGATTCGTTCTTTTAAACAATGGTAATTCATTGTTTACCATTGTTTTCCGGTTTGGGTAGCAAACCAATGGGCTTTCAGCTTCCAAGCAGCTGCTACATGACCTGCCTGGACACTTGTCACTTTAGAAATGAAAAGGAAACTGCATGGAGTTAAGACTTCTGGGATTGTTACTCATGACACTCAGAAAAAAAAATTGGCTAATAGATGACTGACGCATCTCCAGTAATATTCCGGGGGTGTACCCCTGCGGCAAGCCAATGACATGTGCATTACACATGACATGCAAATTTTACTTGCATCGCTCTGCTACAATAGAAGGTAGTGTTTTCTGTCTTGTTACAAATAGTACACTGGGAGATTTCTCATATCATTTTATTCTGTGCTATCTGTGTCATTTTTCGTGTACGTTTTTGGTAGTTTTTGAAATGATCACAAAAACATTACAGTTTTTTAAAAAAGATTCGTTGTGGCTGTTCAAGATTTTATTTCCATCTCTCAACTCATCGCCCATGGCACATGTAAATATGTACCTTCATGTAATGCACCAAACATAATTTAAACACTTTCTACACTTCATACACTTCAGTTTATGATTTTTGAACAACTCGGTTATGTTGAGAGAAGAGGGGGGTGAGTTGTGGAAATGTCCCAGTTAAAAATAATGCCAATAATAATTATTGTTTCTTGTTTCGAAAGGCTAAGTATGCATAGCTATACACTGAAGCCTTCCCTGCATAGCAGTCTTACTCCTTTTTGCCTTGCGCATCTTTTGTGCTTGCCCAACTTGGCCTAAAGGAAAAAAAAGGTGTGCTACGCAGGCCAACTCAAGCGGGAAAAAAGAGTAGTTATGATCTATACAAATGTACTTCTCAAAGTATTAAACCACTGCACTAGGCAGTCAGCAGCCCAATGAACCCCCAGTAGAGGGGTCTTGTTTGGAAACCTGTGTGGCCCCTTTTTCTCTTCAATAATGTTAGAGTAACAATTAAGAAAAAAAAAATTGCTGTTTAGCAGGCTACAAAGCAAGTCAGTTTTACAGCTTGTCCCTTGGGCAAGCTGTGGCTAGCATGTACTAGCCTAAGAGTCATTTTAACAAGCCCCCAAAGTTTTTTTGACAAGTGGGATTTGACCATTGTTCATTTAATTACTTGCTTTATTAATTCATTGTAATAATAACTGTGATAATATCATGGGTGATGAATTACTCCTTAATTGTGGTGAGAAATTCTTTTAATTTCACATGTGAGATCACAAGATTGCCATGGCAACCTTCTGTACATTTGTACGTCTCAGTGCCAAGATGGCAGCAAAGTTTTTTAAAAAATGTTACGAATGAAGATGTCAAGGCATTAAAAGATGCTTTAAAAACCTAAACGCACAAATGAGCACATCAAGAAGGATTTTATCAGGTATTTTTTTTCGAAAAATTCTGAAAATTCTGAACTTAAGCCAATATTTAAACTTTAAAGTTTTCAGCGTGTGAAGTTCTCGACTGATAATCAGTTTGATAAAAATGTCAAAAACCAACGATTTTAAGTGTAATTCATCACCCATAATATGAGTATGGGTAACAGCATGATTAGTAGTGATATTTGGCATAAATACCACAAGTGATATTTCAAAATTTTTATACGTACTTGTAATTGCAAGTGAAATTTAAGACAATTTTGAAAAGTCACGAGCGGTATTTTTGCCAAAGATCACGTACAAATCATGCTGTTATTTGTTTATACTACTACCCGCAAAAGTTTTGTAATTTTCACATGTAGGTATTTCAAATTAAGTGAAATACCACTGCTCTAAGCCAATCAAGTTGAAAAATTTCTCATGTAGCAAAATAAAAAAAAATAGGTAATTAAATGGTATAATCGAGGAATTAGGGAATAATTTCACTTGTGTTTTGTCCAAATCCTAATAATTTTCCTTGCCCCAATTTAATATCATCAGTTCAGTTGAAAAATCTACTTTTGATCTACAATATCTCCCTCATCTAAAGACTTGGGTAATTATCAAGATTTGGTTAAAATGCGCGTGAAATAATTTTACCATTTGATTACACATACTACTTTCACATCATCAGATCAGCGTGAAA